AGAACATTGCATTTGCTTGGACAAACTTCATAGACTGCTTATCTTCACTTCCATCAATTAAGGTGAATAGGTATTGTTTCTCGAAAGACATGGTGTCTCTTCAATTACATGGATTCTGTGACGCATCGATTCGTGCATATGGTTGTGCAATATATGCTCGCGTTACCAAAAGGTGTAGCACTACTATTGTTGATTTACTCTCCGCAAAGTCCAGAGTTGCACCCATCAAGAAACAAACGCTACCTAAATTAGAGCTTTGCGGCGATCTTCTTCTAGCTCGTCTCTTAGCAAAAATTAAACCAGCGATTCTTTTACTACTTTTCTTTGGACAGATTCGCAAATAGTCTTACATTGGCGAAAGATGCACTCGGCAACACCTTCGACCTTTGTGGGAAACCGGGTTTCGGAAATTCAGGACTTAGCTAACGGTGCTTATTGGAAACATGTCCCAACACATTGGAACCCAGCAGATATGGCTTCTAGGGGATGCACCGTGGAAGAACTTGCCAAGTCTATATGGTACACTGGACCAACACTTTTGTACGAAACCACAGACAAGTGGCCAAAGGACCGATGCGGCGACATTGACATGGAAGTTGTGGTAAGCGCAAAACGAAAATCAGCATTCAACACAACTACTGGTACCAATTACATTCTGGAAATCATCAGCCAGCGAAGTTATACTATACTGGATGTTCCGTTTTATCAATAAATTGCGACACCGTGCCAAGGCTAATGACACTTCAACACTTTCACCGCAAGAGTTGCATAACGCCTTACTTTGCGTAATTTGGAACATACAACAAAAACATTTTGCTAATGACATTCATCTTTTACAGAAAGAGCGTACGACAAATGGCCCTCTGCGTTACTTAAACCCTTTTCTTGAATACACCGAAGAATTTCAAATACTAAAGGTTGGTGGTCGACTAGAAACAGCAGATATTCGAGAAGAAAGAAAGCACCCAATGCTTTTACCTAACAAATGCGACTTCGCTATATACTACGTTCGCCATCTTCATCAAAGGAACTACCACGCGGGACCCAAGGCACTCGTATCACTCACAAGACTCCAGTGTTGGGTAGTAAACGCGCGCGAAGTAGCAAGGCGCATCTTCAGGTCGTGCATACACTGTGTACGCTACAAGCCAAAGCTGATGAACCAAGTAATGGGGCAGTTACCGGTCGAGCGTTTGACTCCATCTCGTCCTTTTGCACGCTGCGGTATTGACTTCTGCGGACCATCCAACGTCTATTTGCGTATTCGTGGCAAGACACCCTATAAGGCGTACATTGCCATCTTCATCTGTCTAGCAACAAAGGCAGTCCATATCGAACTTGTATCGGATCTATCTACGGATGCATTCTTGTCGTCACTAAAGCGGATGATCGGAAGAAGAGGGCTTCCGTCTGACATCTTTTGCGATAACGCAACAAATTTCGTTGGTGCTTGCAACAAACTCGCTGAACTAAAGTAATTTTTATTCAAAACCGAAAATAAAAATACAATAGTAAGATATTGTGCTAATGAATTTGTAAACTTTAATTTTATTCCCCCCAGAGCACCTCATTTCGGCGGTATTTGGGAAGCAGCAGTTAAATCGGCCAAGGGTCACCTTAATCGCAGCATAAGAAACGCAAGACTTTCATTTGAGGAGCTGACGACGGTCCTGGTTGAAATAGAAGCAGTCATGAATTCTCGCCCTATAGCACCATTGTCATCCGACCCCAATGATTATGAAGCGCTAACTCCGGGGCATTTTATCATTGGCAGTGTACTAAAGGCCCTCCCGGAGCGCCAGTTGTCGACAAATATTAGCAGCTTACAAAGGTGGAATCAAATTGCTGGCATTAAGGAGGCGTTTTGGAACCGGTGGTCACACGAATACATAAACGAGCTTCAAGCGCGGTCGAAGTGGTTTGCTGAGCGTCCAAATATCGACAATAATTCAAGGGTTATTATCCAGGAAGACAATTTACCACCACAAAAATGGCATCTTGGAAGAATTATCAACTGCATTCCAGGAAAGGACTCCAAAACTCGTGTGGTTGATATTCGGACATCGAAGGGATGCATTCGGCGCCCAGTTCACAAGTTAGCACCTCTACCGGTTTGAAATGTCTTTCAACGGGGCCGGGATGTTGGGTCACCGATTGACAACCGCTGCATTTTTTGAACATATGTTTTTTATTTACTTTAACATCTACTTAATTATATGCCTGAAATATTCAAGGTTAGAATAACTCAAAACATTCACCCCAATAATATTTGTGTTTGCATTTTTACATATTGTCTTGCTTACATATAGTCTCCCGCTATAATTGTTCACTTGCATTTGTATACATACATATTCACATATATGCGCCCGCTATGTTTCACCTACGCAATGATACGTATGTTTGTTTGTACACTTTGCCAATTTCACCTAACAAATGCATGTAGTAAGCTTAGCATATAAGAATGCCTACAGAAATGCTGCTCTCCCATTCTTTCTAATGTTTTTCATTACTGCCATATATGTAATACTCCTATATTGGCAGTAAGAGCTAGTACCGTCCGAAAACACTACAGTACAGATATATCAATAAACAGGTACGAAAGAAAAGGAACACACACGTTTATAAATAAACATGTACACGACACATTTACAAAAACGGCACTCAAGTACACAACACATTGACAAAAACGGTACTAGACTATCTCGCTTTGATTTCGGAATGCTTACACATTGAGAAGTTAGCTTACTGCCAATATAGAAGTATTACATATATGATTACTGCATATTATCATGTATACTTTGCATAAATAGCGTTAAGCATATACTAGGGACATCCACCTTTTATGAAGTTTTGACATAACTTATGTATTAGGGAAATATTAGATCTTATGTATTAGAATATCGGTACTTGTTTATTATTTTGAATTGTATTTAAGGAGATGAAATTTGAAAATAAAACCAGTCTAATAGCTGACCACCACGTAGTTGCGTCGTTACTTGGCCCCTTTACTTGCTGCTACCCTGCTAGTATTTTTCGCTTTTTGCAGATTTGAGCCGTCACAAAAAACGCTTTGTGATCCTACATTTTTTGGCGCCCAACGTGGGGCAGTTACTTGGTACGGAATTTGCACAATTTTTTTTGAATTCGGTGGTCAGCATTAGACTCCACCACTAAGCATCATCATCGCTGGACATCACCATCACCAGACGTGCCAGCATCACTCGCTCATCGTGGAAATCATCAAGCGCATATCACTTCACACCTGCTTTGCGTGCGCTACGTCGTCGTCGCCACCACTCGCCGCTGCTAATATTCGTCGTCCGCATATCTCTTGAAGTCGCTACTACGTGTATACAAGGTTTGCCTTTGTCGTGCTCTTAACAACGTAAGTAAAAACCTACTTTGCATTAATTTTTTGTACTCTACGATGTCGTTACGCGCATTAAAAATATCGTTGACGCTAGTTTGCGGCAAGGTGGAAAGATCCTTTCAGCTGCCGAATACAAATGTCGGTTGGGCATCCTTGAATCATAGTTTAAGCAGATTCTCTCAATTCAAACTGACATCGAAAGATTGGATGCTGAGGATGGAGGACGCGCTGACCTGGAGGATCTATACATCACAACTAAACTGGTTATTCAATCGCAGCTGGCAGAAGATAACAACGTTTCGCTTTCGGATACAACCTGCGTAGTACAATCAACTTCAAAACTTCCACGGCTCAAGCTTCCAACCTTTGACGGCAAGTATTCGAATTACCAGAACTTTATTACCTCTTTCAAACAAATAATTGATCGCGA